ATGACGAGATATGGAAAATACATACATGTTTTGTGTATTTGTGTTTTTTAGTGGGCTTGTTTTTTTCTGGGTTTTAGGCAACAAAACCCAACGGGCCGGCCCTGCCTCAGATGCTCCAGGGATTCCCTGCTCATCATCTTCATCTGTAAAGTATAATGGATTATTTCTATTTTTGTTTTAGTTATAACTTAGAATATATATTTTGGTTGGTAAATCTAAGATATATTGTAAATATTTACAATATATCAATATAAATTTTTAAATCATTAAAAAAAGATTTGGTCGTGAGCTAGCTCGCGACTCGTCTGAGCTGGCTCGCTTAACTCACAAACTCATTTAAGCTCGATCACTTAATTCGTTTACTAAATGAGCCTAAAAAACGTAGCTCACACTCGTGAAAATCCGAGCTGAGCTGAGTCTGCTCATGAGCTAATGACTCGTCTGACTTTTGCAGATTCTTAATAGCACGATGAAACACCAAAACATGTCCTATTTTATTAGCTTATCATATGCAAAATAAACAAGATTTTGAGCTTCACCCATCAATCTTTAGAAGAAAAAAAACGATGTGGCATAGAAGCATATAGTAGGAAGAATTTGTGAGATAACCAAAAAGCATAATAAATTTAGGAATGTAGCCACACAAAAAGGATCGGAATTTGAGTCTAAGGGCCGAATCGATCGAAGAAAGTATCAAAGAATACAGAGGAAGTAAGGATGTGAAAGAAAAACAAATTCCGAGAAGTGTACACCGAAAAATCCTTACAAGTGTGTACATTAACTATCGACTTTAAATTTTATTTCCAAGTGTAATACATTATGTTTGTGAAGCCACCTGCTGATACAAAGCTACACAAAACATATATAAGCTATGTGACATACGACAAACCTCTTTCCCAAACCACCGGTTTGATATGGTCTAATCTCTCACAATGTGATAGCTTCAATCCTGGTCAAGAGAAAACCTCTTCCCAAAACCACCGGTTTGATATGGTCTAATCTCTCACAATGTGATAGCTTCAATCCTGGTCAAGAGAAAGGTAACAAATGAGCCAAAGATTCAAACTTTACAAATACCCAACAAAGAAACATGTGCTTGGAGGAAACAAACAACTTACAAGTTTCCTTGTTCTGAGTTTGAACTTGAGGGGAAGCTAAGAATGTGCCTTAAAACGATTGTTCTCGCCAATGTGATATCTTTGCTACACTTAGTCGCGTTTTCACCCACTTCCTCGATTCTCTCTGTGAAAACATCGAACCTCTTACTAATCTCGTGCATCGAGAGCCTCACAGCCACCTCTTCTTCTTCCTCCTTGAGCGCAAAATCGACTTTTTGCATCATCGATTCCATCTCAATCTTCAACTTATCTACATGGACTCTAATGTTCTCCATGTCTTTCATTGTAACATGTGCACCAATCCTCATGGACAAAACAATATCTTTCTGTCCTTTCACGGCGGTTTCATACTTCTTCCAAAGATGATTACACCATTTCCCTACAGAACCAATCGGAACCGCCAACGCAGCTGCAACCGCAGTCACAACAGGCGGTGCAGC